CACCATTACGTAGGGCGATAGCCAGCACTTTCACTAAAAAACAGCAAACATAACATGAGTCGTCTGCAGCATTTTCAGGTGAAATTAATTTTTCACCCATAACAGCAACTTTTTACTCCTTAATGCACTTCATCATTGCGTGCATCCTTAGTTAAATTGAACTCCTAAACTCTCAAATAGAAAACCTTCTTAGTATTCTATCAACCCCCGAGGTGAAATGATAGCAAAAGAGGTAAAAAACATCAACCAAACAGGTGAAAAATTAAACTTGTCGGTGATGAACTTATTCGACCTAAAAATGTCATACTTTCTATTCGTCGCCGTGATACACAACGTTTCACCCTCACTCAGTAGCTCTTAATACAAGGAGCTAACTGATACGTAATCACTACGCTGGGAGGAAAAGAACATAAATGGTGACGGAAATATCGGAAAATTCAAGTAGATAATACGCTAGCAGCAGGGACAAGTACTGAGGACAGCGATTGCCAATGATGGAGTTTCACACAAATAAAATGAATAGTACATTAGAGTTTCACCCAGTTTACGTGAAGTGGCGTGATACTCGTTGAAGAACGTGATATTCGCGCTATGCAGTAGTTGTGGAATATGTTTCTCACTACTGTTTCCAGATCACTAGGGTGAAACTCCACTACAGTAGTGTGAAAACTACAGCATTGCCAGGTCAAGTTGATTTTTACCGATAATCTTAATTTTTTACTCATTTGCTCATTTACTGATTTTTTACTTTTATCGTCAACATTTTACCCAGGGTTTTAACAAAATGCCAAGAAAAATTCACCCGAAGTTCAACCAAATGGGTGAAAAATTAAACTCGGCGGTGAGAAATAATAATAATTTCACCTGAAAATGCTGTAAACTGCGTTTTTCTATGATTTTATAATACTTCACATATTCTGAAAACGACTATTCACAGTTACTTGTTCCCGTCGCCTCCCAGCTGAACTCCTTCATGGTGAGTATTGGGCTTGGCATAACCAAAGTGTACATCTTCTTACCCTTCAGATGGTAACAGTGCAGTCTGAAGTTCATACCTTCAAAACAAAAAACACTTCCCCACAAAAGTCGCAAATCTTCCAAAAATATCCTCGAAAATATGCACATGTGTGTCGATGACAATGAGAAAATTTGAGTATTGATTTTCGCACACTTCTACCCAAATTTTTACGAAATTATTCAGAAAACTTTCGAACTCAGCTGAGATGGGCAAACATATATTCCTCTAATACTCTGTTACTGCTTCCATTCACTGTGTGCATAGGCGAATTGTTTGCAACAGAGATCGTCACAACTTCCTACGCTAGCGTTAACTATATCACTTCTCAACTGATTGTGATTCTTTACGAGGAAAATTGCCCTACATCCAATGTAGATCATCTTATTGATCGTCACCAACCCCACTGGCATTGATTCCACACTGATTCTTGTACTCAGAATCTGCTTCACAACATCATCATATTTCCACAATGTGGAAATATGTGGAATCACAATGTGTAATCCACATTCAAGAAGTTTCTAGCTATATCTCCCAAGAAGTAATAATATGAAACCAATCATTGTCCGTCGCGTCCTCCCTAATAGAATGTGAGCGATGGTGCTGTGAAGATGGAATATGAGGGAGATCCTGTGACGCTCGAGAGAGCTCAAGGGATCAACCTGCTTCTGCCAACGGTTGAAGAATCATCGCCGCTTACTTGTCCGTTTTTAATAGAAAATATTCTCCCCGTCCGAGTGGCGATGATGATTCGGTATTCGACATCAAAGTCACCACTCACAGTCATGAACGCCGGCACAGCTCCTTCGGGCAAATCGATCTTGATACGACGACACTTCACAGGAAGTTGAACATTTCCATATTCTACTTTAGCGACTATTCCAGTAAGTTCAGAGTTGAGTAAAAACACTGCGCCCGACTCACAGGCGGTTACCAACATAGACGCAATTGATTTCGAGCTCTTCTTCAACGCCTATGGTAGGATCATCTCAATGAGAGAGATGAAGTAACAGCAGCTCACATTGAGACACGTTATAGTTTGCATCTTTCGGAGCTCCGCTACGTCACTGGCTGGATCAGCCTAAGTCAAGGACAAGGTCCCATTTAGTTTGGAGAAATAACATTCCGCAGGGTTTGACAACAATGGGAAAAGTATTCATAATGTGATGATGACATTTACATTGGAAACTGATTGAAGAATTTGTTCCTAGCCATGTGGAAAGCCCCCCCCGGATGATTCTCTGAGTAAGGATGCGGTCTACTATAGTGATATGCATCTATCACTATATCTCATTATAGACGAAAATTTTGGGATATAGCATTTTTACCAACTGTGCGTGCGTGCACTACGTTTTAGCCGATCCGCGGCATTACGCAAGACGCGATACTGTGGTAAACCACTCCATCAGATCACCATCTTTGGTAGTATTGCACGCACGCACAGTTGGTACAAATGTTATACCCCAATTCAGTGAATTAACATCACTATTCGTCTTGACGATACGCACATTTCTACATATAGTTGTCTCAGGAGAATCACAGAGAATCTCTCACTACAACGAGCATGTATTGAAAAAATTAAACTGCTTCACGCTTCAAATAGTGTACCATCTACTACTACTACTACTACTACTACTACTACTACTACTACTACTACTACTACTACTACTACTACTACTACTACTACTACTACTACTACTACTCGACGAGTAGTAGTGGTAGTAGTAGTAGGCACGTATTTCTACTATCGGCGGATGTGTGAACATCAGCATCTTACTTGCAATATATCTATGAGCATAGTATTCATCAGCCTCGGATTCTCCGCGGCTGCCAGAACGTCCTGCGCCCGGAAGGATAGATTTCTGAGTATGTCGATAATTCATCCTAGACATACCCAGAGCGGATCCTACTTGCCGGACTCGCGCAGTTCTACCAGCTTGCTCATATACAACGCGACGTCAAGATCCGCGGGCAGGCGCGGGCTGATAGAAATCTCCGAGCATGATGTTTTCCGCAACAATGATGGTAACAGAATACTACTGCTCAGTGGAGTTAATGAAAAACACTAGTGGAAAACCTATTTCACGACTATTGCAAGGGGAAAATATCGCGCTTTTCACGGAGTTTTACGCCACTTCACGTAAAACGGGTGAAACTCCAGTGTCGGAAAAAATGTTCGCTTTCCTCGGCTGAGTCCAGAAGTTTCCTCACTAACTATACGAAATTACATACAAACTATGTACAGAAAACCATGAGAACTTCCCATATTTTCCTCAGAATAGACATGTAGTTGACCATGTGCATCTTTCCCACACCGCAACTCCCAATTGCGTACGACCAGTGTTGGGATATATGATCGCTTTCTTTTTGGAGTTTCCTCACTAATTGTAGAAGGTTACATACAAATTCGGATAGAAGTGTACAGAAACCAACAATAATTTCTCCAAAATTTCCTATATATATGTTACTATGTCAATAACATAATCTTTTTCTCCCAGAATTTCCAGACAAGACATTACTCACCTGTCAGGAGCATTCGGATCTTCATCTGTGAAGGCCAAGCCACTTTCCTCAATTTCGTATCTATCCGTTCGCTGACACTTCGAGGCGGCCAAACGGAAATCCTGAACAGCTCATTAGATGCTGTCTGTTTACTCCTCGGTATGATGTAAACTGCGTTAGAGAATTTTGCAGAGAGAGAGAGAGAGCTACACAAATCTGAGCGTCAATGTGACGCTATTATCATACGGTCAATGTGACGCTGTTATAATACGGTCAAGGTGATGCTATCATGATACGGTCAATTTGACGCTATCATGATACGGTCAATGTGACGCTATCATGATACGGTCAAGGTGACGCTATTATAATACGGTTAATGTGACGCTATTATAATACGGTCAAGGTGACGCTATTATAGTACGTTGAAACTAAGTTCGCGTTTCGTCCACAACTGAGCTCGAAAATGCTATCATATACTTGAAAACTCCATATCTTTGAGTTTCCACGTATACGATATGAATTATACCATACGTATACGACAAATTTTTGAGCTAATCCTCACCATTGATAAGTTATCAGTAGCAGAACAATAATTTTGAATTGGAGGAGTATTCGGAGTGGTGAATTGCCCACCTGCCAGATTGACAGTTCTTCAGCATTTCCTTCGATTGCTGGAAGAGAGAACTGACAGTAAACAGACCAGTGTAGAATATGTGTTTGCTTCTCTCAGCTGTGCGTAGGGGTTTCTCACTAACTTTCAAAGTTTGTGTACGAGTTCGGGTAGAAGTGTTCAGAAACCAACAAGAACTCTCCAAAATTTCCTCAGAATTGTTGTGTTGTCACCGACACACGCCGTTGACATTACGCATATTTTCCGACACTGAGACAGACTATTCCTGTTGAATAGGAATAGTCAATTCACTATTCACTTCAATGGGAAATTCAATAGGACCTATTCACACATCGTTTCAGAATAGACAGAAGAAAGGATGAAATTTTCCCCATCTTCATGTTGTCACTTTTAGATGAGGTTTGAGTTTCCAATACACGTAGAGGTCTGGTCCAGAGGCCACCGCGATACCTGAGAGCTGTACTAGCAGCCGTTGAGGTCGAGGGTTCGTGTCTACATGGGACTATGTCCTTGGATGTGGTCGAGGAGTGGTAGAACGACTGTACGGCTGTTGGGGTCGCCGGCAAAAGCTGTTCGGAGATTGTTTTCGTGCCTGGTCAATTTTCGAGCGCATGGATGTCGCTAGGCGTAAAATCTTACTCGTTAGGCGTACGTGTTAGAGACTTGAAAAAATTAATCGAAATTTTTCAATTATTTACTCGCTTCTTTTGGGAAAATATCATTTTCTATTGCCTTTTTATTACCCAAAAATTACACAAAATAGCTCGTCTTTTTAAAAACATACCGACTTCAAGTAAAGACGTTAGTTTTGGCTACGCTCAACTTGAGCGGCTCAAGTCGAGCAAACAAGTAGATCACCTAGACCTTTAGATTTGGAAAGGAGATGAGCTTGCAGTGTTGGAGGAATATACAGTGTAAACCAAACCGTTATGCGAAGTAGTGTTTTCAACTTAGCCTTCAATTTTGGGGAGTTCGAAAGTCAACTTTGAGTAATATCATATTTTGGGGAGTAGAAGCGTTCCGTAGTCTATAGTCGTATTGGTCTCAAATTGAAGAAAGCCTTGTGGAATATCTAGATATGCATAACTGTTTGGTTCGCGTCCCTCGTTTGAGCTCGGCAGTTTCCTCACTAGTTATAAAGGTCAATTACAAGTGTTGAGAAACCAACAAGAAATTTGCCAAAGTTTCCCCAGAATCTTCATATTGTCGGCAACGCATGTGATCGACTATGCGCATATTTTCCAGAACTGTGCCTGTGTAGTTTGGGTGACGTTATTCAAGTAGAATTCTTATGCTCGAACAAGGAGTACCACGCCTGGAAATTTTCACTTCCTTTCATGGAGTACAAGGATGTTCCTCGATGACAGAAAAATGAGGAATGGAGAATGCTATTGCATCATCATTATCACTGTCCCAATTCCCCGTAGCACACAATGTGTCTCTCTCGGGTGAAGGAAGCTCTCAGCTGAGCTTATGATGTAGATAGTCTACATCGATTGAGTGTAATCAGGCTGCTGCCTTCTAAGGCATTCCTTTGCTATTATATCCAGTATGGTGTTATCTCAATGGGGAAATTACTAGCCGT